CTGGGTTAAATTCCCTGCAGTACCTTGCTGCTTATTTGTACAAACCTCTGTTGTAGTTGATGAAGGTTCGCAGTCATCCAGGTCATAGTCATTCCATAAAAATTCAAGAAATATCTACTGGACTTGGTTTCCAAGATTTAGAGACATTTTGCCACCTCTCCGGGAAGCTTTCTCAATTCAAATGTCTGGATCCGCAGTGAGTTTGAGTCCTATATAGACAAAGCCTTGTATTGCTTGGAAACATGCAAATGGTAACCGATGAATGGGTCGTTTGGTTCCATTGTTAGCCTGTAATATCTGAAACCTGTCTATGATTCTGTGGGTCGGTCGTTAAAGGGGGGGGATTGTTCACCGGCTGGAGCGGGTAGGTGCTTTTTTCCTCTGTGATGGGGTGGGGTGATATCTGGAGGGGATCATCTCTATGACTGAATTGTATGTTTTTGGAAGCTGGAATCTGAGTCCACCACCTCTGTTTAAAGTTGGTTTAAACCAAATATTACAGGCTAACAATGGAACGTCTTCAAATCTTGGAAACCAAGTCCAGTGGATTTTTTTTTTTACTTTTACGGAAAATTCTGTGAATTAAACCCATGAACCTAGCTTAGAAATAGATAGTAAACTACAGTAGAACTTGGTCATTAAGAACCTCATAGATGTCTGCTTCTACATCACAGACATCAGTTTAGTATCATAATATAGACTTTGATTTAAATCTGTCTAAATGTGTTTTCTGTAGGTCTGAGCTTCCTGCTGTGCTGCAGAACAAACCAAGGTTAGAAACATTTTCACTTGAACTTCTTGAATGATCTCTTAGATGAACATTAAACATTTATTCTGGGTTTTCTAAAGGAAGGATTATGAAAAACATTAAATATATTTGTTTTGTATATAGATTATTTGATTTAGGTCAGTGGTCTGAACCTTGTTTTGGCTTAGAGCTAAAGTACTTAATGGGTTCTAAGTCATATGAAGGGTTACCAGTACTGATTTATGAACTAAAGCAGTCAGCATACAGCTAAACTTCTTGCATAATAAATATATATGTAACCTTTCTCTTAATTAATACTTTTCTGTTTTCACCTTGAAATCTCCTTAAACATAATTAAAAAAGAAAGAGAAGAGCAACAGAATAAGATCAAATTTTAAACTTAGCCCACTGGTGAGTTATGGTGTTTCCAGAAGATCCTTAGGGCATCTCATGTGTTCCTTAAGGTCACTTTGGTGGCCATGGGTACCACATTGGTGATAAATGATTTTCGTTTTACTGTGTCAATTAATGAAAAAATATCTATTTTATCCTAAAAGAAAGACTTTTGTTTCCAGCCCTTCCTGTTGCTCTGACTGTGAGTCCCAGCAGATCTCAGTTCTTTAAAGGAGAATCTGTGTCTCTGAGCTGTGAGGAGAACAACAGCTCTGCTGGATGGACTGTATGGAGGAACACAACCACAGAAACAAGGACTCAGTGTGGAGATGGATGGGGGAAACNCTGTAATTATTACACACTGTAGCTTTAACAGTGACGTGTTAACACTGACTTTGTCCAGTGGTTTTCTCAAATTTTGATCATTACATTGTTTAATCTAACCAAATTTGTTTTAAAAGTTGCACACTGTAGCTTTAAGCAACTAGATTGGTTGGAAAAACAACCAGTCTATTCTTAGAATCTATCCAAACTTTATCCAGCTGACAGCAGCTCTCCTCCAAACTCCCACATCTTGACTGAACACTGATGCCTGTCAAAATTCTTGTGCTTCCCGAACCACTTCCCGAAGCAGTCACGTGGTTTCACGGTAGCGAGGCCTCGGACGTCATCAATTTTGGGTCCGCCTCTAAATGAATCACGCCTCGACACGCGCTTCGGGGAAACGCCCCCTCCATTACTCGACACACGCCTCGAAGCCTCGGCTCATCTCATAACATCACTACTTCCAAGCATAATAGCAGAGACTAAAGAGAAGTCCATTTTAATCAGTGGAACATACATTTGTGTGTCATCTGCATAGCAGTGAAAAGAAATCCCCTATTTCCGATAGGTACAACATGGAAAGCAGAGGGCCAAACAATGAGCCCTGTGTGACACCACACAATAATGGAGCAGAGGCGGGCATGACCATCAAGACGGAAAGATAAAGTCCACCTACTGTTCTTAATGCTTTGCTCTTGACTGTTGGATAAACCTAAATTATATAAGGGAGACTTTGGATACCCCACTAAGACACAACCAGGTTAGTATTTCAACTTGCAAGTTTTGCAGGATCCGAAGAACAAACCTTTTTTTTAATTCTGAGATTATTTTAAAGCTTTTGTTATGATGATTGTTATGGTGTTGAAAGAACCTCAGTTTTTTCAGCATCACAATGAAGGAAGAGATAAACCAGCCTACGTAAAGGAAGAGGGCGGTCTTAATTCTGTGTTTCCAGCCAGAAATGAAAAGCCGTCAGATGAGTGAGAGGAACCATGAAGGAAACACCTCAGAGCCTGCTGCTTTGTAAGTACAGAACATCTGAGTTAGAAAGATTATTACTGGCTGCTCTGATGATGATTGATGGAGGAGGAGAAGCATGTTAGACTCAGATAATGACACGGTTCAACTGTGCAAGAAAAAATATCATGTTACCCTGTGAATTAAACCCATGAACCCAGCTTAGAAATATATTCTAAACTACAGTAGAACCTGGTCATTATGAACCTCATAGATGTCTGCTTCTACATCACAGACATCAGTTTAATATCATAGCTATAAACTTCGATTTATATCCGTCTAAATGTGTTTTCTGTAGGTCTGAGCTTCCTGATGTGCTGCAGAACAAACCAAGGTTAGAAACATTTTCACTTGAACTTGCTGAATTGCCTCTTAGATGAACAATTAACATTTATTTTGGGTTTTCTAAAGGAAGGATTATAAGAAACATTAAATATCTGTTTGTATATAGATTATTTGACTTAGGTCAGCTGTCAGAACCTTGTGTTGGCTTAGAACTACAGTACTTCATAGGTTCTAAGTCATATGAAGGGTTACCAGTATTGATTTATGATATGTTCAGCTAAACTTCTTGCATAATAAACATATTTGTAATGTTTCTCTTAATTAATACTTTTCTGTTTTCACCATGAAATCTCTTTAAACATCATTAAAAAAGAAGAGCAACAAAATTAGATAAAATTTTAAACTTTGCCCACTGGTCAGTTATGGTGTTTCCAGAAGATCCTCACGGCACCCCATGTGTTCCTTAAGGACCCTTTGGTGGCCATGGGTGCCAAATTGGTGATACCTGATTTTGGTTTAACTGTGTCAATTAATGAAAAAATATATACTTTATCTATAACTTTTATTCCTCCCAGCTGCTCTGACTGTGAGTCCCAGCAGATCTCAGTTCTTTAAAGGAGAATCTGTGTCTCTGAGCTGTGAGGAGAACAACAGCTCTTCTGGATGGACTGTATGGAGGAACACAACCAGAGAAACCAGGACTCAGTGTGGAGATGGATGGGGGAGACCAGCTGGTTCTACCTGTAACATCAGTAGCCTTTATAAACATGACAGTGGAGTTTACTGGTGTTGGTCCAGAGAGGGAGCAGCCAGCAGCAGCATCCAGCTCACTGTCACTGGTAAGATCAGACT